GTGGTGTTCCGCAATCTATTCTTAGTTTGTATTGAAGTGTGGAGTAGAATAATTGGAGCGGTTGCTGCTGCCGAGTAATGCGGCAATGAACTGGTGTAACGAGTGTGGTATGTGGTACGCAGTAAATAATTAGTTACAGTAAATGCAGAGGTCATTTACCTGGCATGTGTGTGACTCTAAAGCTGTGGGCCGTCACTTTCGCTCATAACTTATGAAGTGTCAACAGCAAGCTGTGCATGAGGGGCTTTTATCCCACGGAGTAAGAGTTGTTCTGTCAAGAAATTCTCCCAACTGATCTATAGATTTATGCAGCTCCTCCACAGAATCTCAAAGCTTCTCTGATTAACCCCTTCCATGCCAAGCCATTATTTTTGGCCTATTCTGTCTTATTTACCATGTTTTAGGACATTATTTTTGGCCTATTCTGTCTTATTCACCATGTTTTAGGACATTATTTTTGGCCTATTCTGTCTTATTCACCATGTTTTAGGACATGGTGAATGGTGAATTTCATAGAGCTCTGTCCATCTTTCCCATGAATTCTGACATGGTTTCCCATCTCTGCTACAAACCTCTGGGTTTTAACAGGGAAAGAAATATTACGTTACTGGCATTTAGTCCACATCTATAATCGATTTGTTTCTTTGTTCTTAATCTTGCCACACCAGGGACACAAGGCTTTCTAGAGGATAACTAACATGTTTTTTCTGGAAACTATTCAACAACAAGTGAATTTCAACATTGGAAATCTAAGCTCACATATGACGCCTCACCTCGCTACCCTTGGAAACGGTAGCGAGGTCAGGTGTGTAACAAAAACCCAAAACCTACCCAACTGTGGAAATACAGTCTTGATTTATCGGTCATGTGACATGGACGTTAGATCGTCGGTGCGACAGTCTGTGGAGCAGAAACAGACAGGTTGCAGCATGCAGAGCTCAGCAAGCGCTTATGAATCACTTCTCATAGTACAACTTCTGAACCTGAGCCAAGCAACACACACTGTCACCCACATCACCAGCTCAGACGAATATTCCTGAACTAATCACGACACAAGTAACACTGATGTCATTCTCTTACACTCACTTCACACCAAATTAAAAAACACGTTCTACTATAATGCAGAAATTCATTGACGTTAACGATGAAGCTACTTTGTAGAGTAATTTTCTGGAAAATCTGCAAAAGTTTATAGCTGCCTCCTGGGGAACAACACACCATCATTGTTTTTTCTATTTGTTTTAAAATGTTCTTGCAAGTCATTAAGTAATGCTGTAATGGCATATTAATGCCAATGTAAATAGAAAAAAGAGGAGTAAATCTCCACCATAAAACAAAAAAAACTTCAAGAAACAAAAGTCAATGTTTTAGTTTGAAAAGTTGGAGATTTGCAAACTTAATTTTTAGATTAGTTTCAAAGTTTCTAGAAAAAAAAAATAATTTTCTTAGTCTCAAAAGTAAAAGATTTTCAACTTTTGGAAATGTGTGAAAGTTTCTGAAATTAATCAAAAAATATTTTGGCAGAAATTTGATGCAACATTTTTTTTTTGTTTGTTCTTTTTTTATCTACAATGGTCCTAATATGTTGTTGCAATATCATCTAATTCTCTTGGGTTAGTTTTTTGTGTTTTTTCTGTCCTTCTGAGGTGTTTACATGCATTGTGCGCCTCTGAGCCATATATGAGAACACTTTGTGGATTTTTCTGTTTTTTTTAATGTGCTTGGCAGCAATAAAACACATGGGAGTGTTTTGTGAAAACAACAAAGGCAGCCTGCAGATTTTATTATCAAAGATCCTTAGTGATCATTTCATGCCAAGCTTTTCTAAAAGCTTTTGTATAACCCACTACTTCCATCAAAAATAATTGCCAGGCAGATTTAAAACGAACCCAGTTCTACCAGTTAGCCCTGCTGTGCATACACTTGCAGTACAACATGTACTGCCACTGCCATAATCTCAGTAAATATTAGAGGAATTATGAATGCAAGAAGGGAAAAAAAAAATCATCCCATCTGTTAACTATAGGAGAGAAAAAGGTTGTTCAGATGAACTACAACAGGAAGACTTCAAAATGTGCCACAACTATTTATTGTGACACAATAATGAAGAGATTTATTCTTTTCAAGAATCATCAAGGTGGAAAAATCCAAACAAACAAAGTGTTAGCTTTTAAAAATCTGAAGATGAACAGCAATTTTTCTGACACGTCCATTATGGGATGAGGATCATTGGAACTTAAACATTTAACTCGAAAATTCACTAAAGCGTTTACTGATGGATTTCCTGCGTTTCTTCTGATGTCAACCAGAAGAGACACAAGTTGATGACATGAGAACAAATTTTTCTCTCCCCTCCCAGTAGAGATTTTAAAAATGTTTGGAAAAGATACATAGCGAAATACATCTTACAGCAACAAGAAGAATTTAAACTAAACTAAATTATGTCTTGCCGATCATCCTTTACACTGAAGCAACACGCAAGTCATGTCTTTCTAATTCCATAAATTAAATTTAAAAAGTGCAGCTCGCCTTTAAATTGCAAGAGTTTTATTCAGTGTTAAATTGATCACGCCTGACTGCACACAGATGTTAAAAATGGGAACAATTCTTCAGTGTAAACTCATGCTTATTTACTTTAGATGAGATCAGCAATTGTTTTCTGACTCCATATACATATGTTACATATATTACCCCACATGACAAGAAGCCTGAAGCAGTGATACTTGCATGAACAGGAGGACGGCTGTTGTTTGTTACAGAAACTTAACAGCTTGACTTTGTTCTTGCTTGTCAAGAGTTTCAACAGCACAAAAACAGGAAAGGAGGTAGTGGCTAATGGAAATAACTGGACAGACTGGCTTTACTTCTACAACTGTACACACACAAAGAAGCAAACACCCACAGAGTGAGATAAACTCCCCACACAGGTGTGCACGCACACACACACACACACATGCACACACCTCCCCCCCCCCCCCCACACACACACACACACGCACACCACACACCACACACACACACACACCACAAACACACACACACACACACAAACAAAGCTGGCTGACCCAGATCTGCCCCAGCTGAACTCTGCACTCTGTTACACGACAACTACCAACATGTCACCACAGGAAGTCATTCCCATCAATTGTCATCATTTACTTTTTAAGAAAGGCTTGTGCAGCCAAGTATTTAGGAAATGCATCGAATAAAATAAGAAGAAATTATACATTTATTATCTACACTGCTCAAAAAATAAAGGGAACACTCAAATAACACATCCTAGATCTGAATGAATGAAATAAATATGAAAATAATTTCCACCTGTTGTCTATTCCATTTGCACAACAGCAGGTGATATTGATTGTCAATCAGTGTTGCTTTCTAAGTGGACAGTTTGATTTCACAGAAGTTTGATTTACTTGGAGTTATATTGTGTTGTTTGAGTGTTCCCTTTAGTTTTTTGAGCAGAATATTTTCTGAGAAAACTGAGTGTAATGACCTTACAAGGCCACTAGAGGGAGTACATACAGCATAAGAGTAAATTGATAAAATAAAATATTAAAAAAATGATTGCCAATTTCATCTCTTCTTTTTCCATAATCAGTCATCTGGTTTCCGATGGTTACAGAGGACAGGCCACGGGAGACAGAAAGCTGCTGAGATTAGAAGGAAAAGGGGAGAAAGGTGTGTATGTGGCTGCAGGTGCAAAACAGCTGCTATCCTCCTTGATCCAACCTAATGTGTAACCATGGCAGCTACCGGTTATCATCAGGTGAGTAGGGACGTAAGCAGACATGGGTTTTTTGTCTGGCTCAGAAAGAAAATGCTCTAAGAGCTTCTGTAAAGTTAGTCACATGGATTAACTTTTGAATTTAAAAAAATATAAAAGTTTAAATTTCAGATCTTAGAAATATTTTAATCTAACAGGAAGGTTGAACAGAGTAAATCAAAGTAGCTCTGTTTTATCCCTTTAAGTTTTAAAAGAGGCGATATGAGATTTCCATGCACACAGTAGCATTTTATAGCAGTCAGGTTACTATGCTACCTTCTGTAAAAATGATAAATATAAAATGCGAAAATTATTTTTACTTTATGATTTAATGCCTTGAAATTGTGCTTCTTTCTTTAAAAACTCCTGCTCTTTCTGAAGCCCCGCTTTCAGGAAGTCATCATAACATGATGACAATGTTTTGTTTTGCCAGCGTTACTTTGAGAAGTGGCTCGTATAATGAGCTCAACAGAAGCAGAGTTCCACAAGGAGTTGGAAAATTGCTGCTGGCTAGTCTGAAGGAGCTGAGTGAGGTGAAGATGGTGCCATGTTCACCCCTCTGAAAGGTTGAAATCAAAGACGATTTTACAAGATACTGACCTCCTTTACTGCTTTACAAAACTAATAAACATGACCAAATTAAACAGCATCTCATCTAGACAAATAAAATCAAGTTTGCAAGTTACCCATCAACAACTTCAAATTTGGGAATAGCTCACCACCTGGCCCAACATTAAAGCCAACCGGTGACTAAAGTGTAGTCACCACTGCTAACGTGGAAAAAATCCAGGGACATTTTGGGTAAGGGCCCAGACAGGGCAGTGAAAGAGTGGGTACTGTGATCATCATATGGTCCTGACACCAAGTTTCTACCACATACTGGTAAATGAAAACCAAGAAAATTAGGACCTTGAAAGTTACACAGCATCATTAAACCTTCCACTAGTGGGAAGCTCCAAACAGGTTGAAATAATTAGATCAAGGAAATGACTGTGTTCAGTAGTTCTGTACTGTTTAATAGGGACTAGATCTGATCAAGAACACATGACACTTCAGCCTTAGTAATGCAAGTCTTTCAGTTTGCGTGGCAAGTTCGAATATGATTTGAAGCAAATGTGACAGACAAATTAGAAAAGAGACAGAAGGTGACGGAAGTTTAAAAAGAAATGAAATATCAATGTTGCAATGCAAATACATACTTATTTGCATAGTGAAATATAACTGGACTTACCTTATCCTTGTCATCTACCACGTCACACAGCATGTCATCAAGGTCCAAAATGCCTCCATCGCCATGCTCCAGTCTGTGGACCTGAACCCAGTAGCTGGGATCCTGGGAAAGAAAGAAAAAAAAAAAGTTCATAAGCCCTATAATGAGATTTGCTTTATTTGAACCATATAGACGCAGGATTTGTTGCATTATGCGAGGTAAGCCACAAAACGCTGCTCGGCCAAGTGAATTACCAGCTTGTGTCTTCTTAGGAATCAGCTGGTCTGATCATCATGGGGTTTATATCATGATCCGGTTCGCTGGCGCACATATAGGACGTGACATGGTTAGGGATTGAAACCGGGAAACGTGGTCATTCCCTAAACAAGTGGTCTCGACCTTTCTATTTGGGGCAATCTATGTTACGTGATGAAGGGCGGTTCTTATTTATATATTTGAATGAATAAAAATAAAAAAATCTTCACTCTTCTATGTGGAAGTAAAAATAGCTGTCATTTTCTGTTTTGTATCAGCCATATGAAAATGGTTCAGGCATGAATAATGCCGAGATGAAACTTCAGTGGTACCTGATAAAATCAGTTTACTTTCATGGCCCAGCTTTATTCTTTATGACAATTTGCTATGTTGTTTATCCAGATGTATTTAAAATCAATTATAAACTTTAAAAAGGCTCTCAGTCTCATTTTATCACATGTTATATGACAAATTGACTCTTCAACTATCCCTTAAAACACCTTTTGCTTCATCTAACAGCTGACACATTAATTTATAATGTAAAATTTTCAAGCTGGCTGATTGAAATAAGTGGCTAATCATGTCTGTCACACATTTACGAATGAAAAGTCCTTATTAAAATTAGGAGTGCACAGATTGCAATTCTATGCCGATTCCAATTTTGGTCAATTCCGATTTTTTAGTCTGCCAAGTTGGCAACAGTGGGGTGACTATTGTTAGCTCACATGCAGCTGTGATCTGGTGGGTGGGTTCATCAGTCAAACTTCTCTCACAACAAAGCAACAGGAGATAGATGGTAGCTGACTGTCAGGAATTTGCAAAGGTAGATAAGATCATTGGATAAGACCAGTTTCTCATGCAACTATCATCCAATCTCCTAAAAGCAAGGAAATCAATGCACCCCTCATTACAATGTCAAACTTTCACATCTAAATTGAACAATTATGCAAAGTGAAAGACTGGTTCTGTTGGAATGTAATCTGTGGTCTAGTGTTAGCTACCTCTGATTTGTGGTTGATACACATTCTGAAACACTGTTAATGATCCAATATCGGCACTTTCCTAAAATAATGGCACTTAACAAAAAATGACTTGGGCCATTACTTTAGGAAGGTAACAACACATTAAGATCTGATGAAGATTTAAACCAATTCAATTCACCACTCAACTGATATTCAGTCCAATCTATTATCTATGTGATAAAATAGGAAGAAGCAAGAGTGAGTCATTGTTTGTGACTTAATGAAAGAAAACTTGTTTAACATATTCAAGATAAATGTTTTGTATGATCTGTCACATGATTAAATGAGCTTATCAGATTAAAAACAAAAATAAAGTAATTACATCATAGTGGAGTATTGTAGCTCCTTATAAATGGGGAAAATTCAAACTGACATTTATTATAGACTGCTGAGCTTTGTTGAGTATTACACAAAAAAGCACAAAAACATTTAAAAAAAATAAAAATTGTGCAAAAGTTGCTTTGATTTTTTGAACATGCTGGTTTTGAACATGCTGGAACATGCTATTGGCAGCCGTTCAGAATCTCAGATAGGGTAACTCAGGGTAACTTATATAGGAAGCTAAAGCTCGCTTACATTGTCAACTCGGTCATCAATTTGTCTTTTGATGAAATATTAGTAAAATCTCGTTTCACAAAGGCTCCTCTCTCATACAGTGTCATATCGTCTCTGATGAGTTTATTATGTGTTTGTAAGTAATCAAGAATGAAGGCCGGGGAAGAAAAAAACATTTTAATCCCATTTTATAGTTCTTCTTAAAGAAAAATTAGGTTTTGTTTGAAAAAAAAAACGATGGGACACCCTTTACATCTAATTCTAGCTTCTACGACACAAAATAACAGAGAAAATGGTAAGTTCAGTGACTGCCTTTCTCTCTAAAGTAAATTTGGAAACAGGCATGTCTTTCATTTCTTTTTTGGGGGTCCTTCATTTCCACTACTTCTCTCTTATCCAAACTAAACTGTCTCCATAATTTCAAGGCATTTTGGTGAAATGCCTTCATATTGTACTGAATTGTGGTTCACCAGAGATAATGGTCCAAATTGCAAAGGGAAACAAGTTAAATCTAGAAGACAAAAAAAAAAAACTGGCAGATTTTATCTAAATCAAAAGGGAAGGAAGGCTAAAAGTTACTATGCAGACACACATCTTACTCTCCAGTCAAAAGAAAATATTCTCTCTGTGTTCCAGATTTAAACGTAATAAAATATACTCTGTGTTTTGAAGGAACCCAGTCAGGAAGACAAAATTTAATAAACTACTTCTGCGATGCAGCCTGATAAAAGTTGACCAAAACCCAGAAGAGACAGAAACAGCTGAAATCCAGCCTCTCTGGAAGTTATTACAAGCCACAAAGTAACCCTCGGCATTCAAAAAAAAAAAAAAAAGATGTGTTCAAATGCTGACTAAGTCTGTGTCGGCTTGGTAAAATCTTGATCCAAACATGTTCCACAGATGGATTACAAGGAACAAATATTCTGGGGGAAGCTGAACCACACAAATTAATCTCGGCATTACACTTCGGATGGATGGAAGGGGAGGAAAAAAATCTGCTTTCATATGCTCCATTTAGGTTGGACTTGTGAAGACATATCTTGGAACATTTTATCTGTGGCTCTTTGCTTCATGCGAACGGAAAACAGCTCTCTAATACATTGTGGTTGTGTTTTATATTGTCATCCTTTTGGCTCACATGCATGTGGTGATGACACGTAGATAGGGTAACTCTTAACTTCACTTTTTGTGATGTTATAATATCAAGTAATGGGTCATTTCATGAGAAAAGGAGGAAATTCCATTGTTTTATGTTTAAAAAAAAGGGGGAGGATCGGAAGCTTGGAAACTGCATCTCTGAGGAGGAGCTTCGTCCTCAAAGGCGGAGCTAGGTTCACCCAGGCGTTTTGCACCGCTGAATGGATGAACAGGAGATTACAGGATTTCTCAAATATGCATAAAAAAATAAATAAAATCAAGGCAACACTCCAGGCATGTTTTTGATTAGGAAATAATCTGCAAACATTATTTAACACCAAAGCTATCCCTTTAATTTTTTACTCGACTTGTCAAAGGAGCTTCTTCCACATGTGTCATTTTTGTCCACTATATTTTTGAGAATTTTTGTGGTCACAATGGATTTTGTATAAGGCAATCAGAGTAAAGAAGAATGAATACAAATGCATGCCACATTTTTCAGATTATTCTGTTCAACTTCCTTCTATTTCATAGCTCTGAGGTAGTTTGTAAATCAAGGCCTGTTGTTGACAAGGATGGAAAGGTTCAGGGGTCATGAACACTTTTACAAGACACTTTACACAAACCTACAAATAAAACATGTTGGCAAGGTTAAAAAACGTGCATTAGGACATTTACAGTTGGAAAAATTATAAACAATAATACAGGCATTGGTAAGTTCCCAAAGGAATTAATCGCTGACTTAAACTTCGACAACTAATGCCTCCTAAAGTCATGTTTGTAAGAGTGAAGTGCTGAAGTGAACTCAAGCATGCAGTTTTTTTGCATACAGTCTTCTATCTGACAGGGTCTAAGCAAATGGTGAACTAGAAAGTGGTACAAATGTAAAGAGGAGAAACTGAAAAGAGGGACATGATCATTTTAACAAAGGGAGCTTTGTGGTACAGCCATTTCTATTACTGCAGCATATAGTAACAGCTGGTATAGGGAGGAAAGCACTGAGCTGATAAAGTCTTAGCAAACATAAGAGTTAACCTCAAACTGTTACCACATCTCTGCAGGGGAAAAAAAAAAAAAACACACACTCCGTTATATTACAGAGTGGAGACATCGACCCTTCTGACATCAGGACTCTTTACACATGCACTTATGTTTTCCTCAGAGTGTGATTTATTGCAGTGTTACGTCAAGTTCCATTTGACATCACTGGAAGTCTGCACACAGAGAACACCACTCTCTTTTACGGGTCGGTGTGGCGACAGAAGATCTCTCTGACCCATGGGGTGTTAGCTGGATGGAAACTGCTCCAGTATCAGATTACCATAGAACTGTAATCATGAAATATAATTCTATAAACACACCATCTAAACTGCGGTAGTTTTGGAAACAAGCATTGGCACTTTCTCTCGTGAGGTTGCATGTGGACAGAATCTGCTTCAGCAAACTGTGTACTTTTTCTCCCCTTTTGGGAAAATTTTATAAATTTTTTCACCTATAAAATCTATTAAAAAGCAGTGTAATCTGTCATTGTTTGCAGACAGCTTGGATGCCATTTTTTGTCACTTGAAATTTAATTTATTTATGAATTTCATTAGACAAGTCGCAATGTGACCCTGTTGGAGGGCAAAACACTCCTAGCTGAATAACATCTTAGATGTCAAGTTGTCAACATCCAAGATCTGTGTGTGTGCATATTAAATGTATGCATAATATATATAAGAAAAATTAACATAGTGCTTTGCTACTAATTGTAAACACTAGGGCAGCACAATTAAATATACTTGATAATATAAATAGATAATATATGGTAGATAATATAAATATATATTACAATTAATATATTAAATATATCACAAGTTTGGTCAGACATGTAAAAATGAAAGTGTAATTAAGAATTCTTTATATAATGTGAAATAAATAATGCATGGCATCGTTCAGAGCACAAAGCATAAGATTAGACTGAATAGATCTGCCTTTATGGATCAAGCACATTGTCACAAACACCTGATATAGACATTTTTTTTCAACATCAGGACCAATGGAGATGTTAAAACACAATGAGACTAATGACAGATGTGGCAATAGACTTTAGTGGTTTGAGTCATAGAGTGACTCAAACCACTAAAGTAAGACATCATTATGACAAGAACTACC